CTGCCCTCTCCCCTCTTCCTTCCCTGGCCTCTCCTCTTCCCCACCCCCATCCATCTCTCTCCCCCCATCTGTCTTTCTCCCTCTCTATCTCTCTGCAGTCCTTTCCATCCACCTCTAAAACCCCAGGCAACCAGACTTTGCGATTTCAGAGCCCGGCTGAGGCTGCAGCCAATCGTCACCCAAGCTTTGCCGCGTTCTCGGGGTGACTACCAATCGCAGCCCAGGCTTCCCCAGCCCGCTCCTGGAGTGGCCTGTCCCTGCCGCGGATTGGTCCACGGCCCGGGCGCGGCGGCCAATCCCAGCCCGAGAGTCGACAGCCCGTCCTAGTGCACAGCTGCCGCGAGTACCAAAGAGAACCGGACGGCCAATCAGCAGCCGAGATCCCCCCTCGGCCCGCCCCGAGGTGAGAGGAGGGGGCGGGGACCCATCACTAAGCCAATGGGGAGCCAGGGGATCTGAGCGTCTGGCCGCTCAGATCGGCTGGGAAGCTAACCTACGCGTGTGATCCCAGCGCCGGCCCGGCAGCCCCCTCCCCCCGGCTGTCCCGGACCCCACGTACGGAGCAGATACTCCGCGCTGTCGTGGTCGTAGTCCGTGTCCTCCGGAAAATGGTTGATCTTCACGCAGACGCCTCTTTTCAGCCCTGGAGAAGGGACGGGGGTGGTGGGGGTGGGAACTTCAGAGTTCGGGGCGGGGCGGCCCACAGGGAGAAAGCCCCCCCCTTCCCCAGACCCCTTCTCTCTGGTCTGATGGTGAGACAGAAGTCCTGGCCCTGAGCCGGTGTCGGTATCGGGACAACTTTCAACCTCTCTGGTCTGTTTCCCCACCTGTTAAAAAGGAAACAAAAAAAACACCCAAAGGCTAATATCTTTCCAAGCACCTACTACAGGCTCCAGGACGTCTGCCCTGTAACCTGGGCTCAACCTGTCTGGCTTTCTCTTTCCCCTCTGAGGAAAAGGGTCTGAACTTTGTCAGGCCGCCCTTGTAACCCTCAACTTGTTGAGAAGTCTGAAAATGCGTGGGAAAACAAGGACTGGACTTTCCCCTGAGACCCTGCGAAGTCCAGTTGCGAGTTTGGTTTCTTCATCCTGGAAAGAGAGGGAGGGATTCCCAGTCTAGCAGAATCTGGCACCTCCAGAGATGGAGTGGCTGAGGAGGGAGTGTAGGATGGCCCTAGGGGTGCTGCAGGCCCTCCTCTTCCTTCCTCCCAGTGTCCTCTCCTCGGATCCTCATCCTCACACCCTCTGGAAACCTATCTGACTTCTTTGGAGACACTGTTTTACAACCTCTAGCACATAGCTGAAGAAAAAAAAAAAAAAGTATAAGTAAATTTAGATTCCTCAACTCTCCAAGCTCCCTCCAGCCTCCAGGCCAGGGAACATTCTGTTCACATTCTCTGCTGATGTAGTACTTACCCTGCAGCTCCTTTAAAAGGCATTCCCTACATGCGCACACGTGCACACGCACACACACACACACACACACACACACACACACACAAAGTTGGGCCAGTGGCCTCCTCTTGGGTACAACAGCTCCCTGGCTTCCCCCTTTAGGATGTGCTTGGATTGATTTACAATCATCCTACTCAAGCTGGGAGTTCCTGAAGGGGAAGGGCCTGGAGTCAGATTCCTTGTCCCTAGCATTGCCTGGTACCCAGAGACCTAGAAGAACAATAGACGGATGAATTAGTGAATGATGGACAGAATAGAAGAGAGCAGAAGTGGAGAGTAAAGGCAGACCAATACAGGCAAAGAAGAGCCGAAGAAATGGGGGTAAAGAGAAGAATTGGTAAGAAGGAGGACACGGCAGTGAGTAATACCAATAAAAATGAACATTTGCTAAGTGCTTCCTAGGTGGATTAACTCGATAGGTACATAAGAGCCCCTGAGGGCTGGGAGCGTAGTTCAGTGCTAGAGCACTTGCCTAGTGTAGTCCAAGCCTTGGGTTCCATTCCCAGCACCTAGGAATTTAAAAAAAAGAAAGAAAAGAAAAAAAAAAAAGATTCCATGAAACATGTTGGTGTCACACAGTCCTACTGCTTTGGCAGGAAGCCTGACTCCACTCTTGTTACACCTTCTACCTTGTTGCAATACATAAGCCAACTCTCTCTTCCCTCACCCATAAAAAGCAGAAAATGGGACCTATGTCCAGGTTGATGTGAGGATTTGGTCTAGACCAGGAGAGGTAACTGATGTTTTGCAGCCATTGTCCAGACAGAAACCTGGGCACTGCATGGCTCATTAGCCCAGGACTGATGGGTGGAGGAAGCAGAACTCACACACACACCTCTGGGCTGTAAGCATCTGGGCTGTTCACCACTGTGTTCACAGCATCCAGGACAATACCTAGCACATAGTAAGTGCTCAATAACTGTTTTTAATGAAAAGAATGATTGAATGGGCCAAGAAGCAGAAAAAAACACTCCACATCACTATACATAAGAGAAATTCAATCCAAACGACAAGGAGATACCATTTTATACCCAGTAGGAAGGCTGCTATTTTAAAACACAGAAAATAAAATAAAACAAGTGCTGGCAAAGATGTGGAGAAATGGGGACCTTTGTGAGCTGTTGGTACAGAGGTTCCTCAAAAGTTGAAACAGAATTACCAAATGACTCAGCAGTTCCACCCTGGGTACACCCTGAAGAACTAAGCAAGAACTCAAAGGGATATTTACACCCCATTTTCATCGCAGCATTATCAGATAGCCAAAAAGTGGAAAAGACTCAAACGTCCATTGACAGATGAATGGATAAGACAAACAAAATGTGATGTATACACGCCGTGGAATATCACTCTGCCTTTCCAAGGAAGGGGGTATGAAACACACCATAACACCGATGAATCTTGAGGACGTTGTGCTATGTGAATCAAGCCAGTTACAGAGAGACAGATTCTGCATGATTATATGAGGCACCTGGAGCTTCCGGCATCTGATTCATCAAGATCGACAGTAGATGGTAGTTGGAGGGTGGGGGGAAGGGATCGAGTTTCAGTTTTGCAGAAGAAAACACTTCTGGAGGTTGGTTGTACAATGTGAAAGTACTTAACATTACTGAAAATTATTAAGATGGTAAATTTAGGTCATGCACATTGTACCCCAACTTTAAAAAGAGAAGGTAAATGGACGTGCACTCCCTGGTGTGAACTCTGACCCATCCTTGGGGTCACAGGTGAGACTGTGAGCTCCAGTTCCCCTCTTTCTTGGGTAGAATCACAGTCCTTCTCTCAAAGCACCCATACTTCCATGAGATGGGCCTGAAACCATGCACAGGACGCACAGTGCTGCCTAGCACCTAGCCCTGGTGGCTACCAGGCAGCTTGGGGCAGGAGCCACATGTCACTCGTTACTTAGGACCAGCCCCAGGAGGAAGACAGCGGCCGGATCCTTGCTTCACATTTGGGGAAACTGAGGCAAGACAGCTCTAGAAGTCAGCCTGTCTGCAGCGGACACTCCTGGAGGAAGTCGGGCAGCCCTGGTTTCCGAGCTGGGCCTGTGTGGACCATAGACCACGGTGGCTGCCCGGGCTCTGGGGGCAAGTCCTCCACACTCAGCCTCAGAGTTGTGGCTTCCCAGCTGTGTTGCTTTAGGAACCCAAATGTCCCTGAGATGGCGTGGTGGTTACAGCACAGGCCTCTGTCTGCTGGCTGGCCCACACGGAGGTGGGGCTGGGAAGCGTGGGTTAAGGGGTCCCGCGGCTTCCTGCTCGGACCAACCAGAGGACCCTCTTGGTGAGATAGTGCGTAGCACGCGTGGGGGAGGGAGGTTGGATTGGGTGGGTTCGCCTCCTGGGTTCTGAGCAGAGCCGAGGGGGGAGCCTAGACTCTGGAGGACCCACTGACAGAGCCGCTGGTATGACCACCAGCCCTACAGGTGGCAACCGCCACCGGCATGCGGGGAACACACGGGCTCCAGGCTGCACGTGGAGAGAGCGTGTGCGATACTTCATTTTTTGTGTATAGATTCCATGTTCAAATGACATTCGGGCCATGCTGGGTTAAACTATCGAGTTCACCTATTTAGTTTTATTTGTTTTAATGCCACTACTAGATATTTGAAACTATGTGGCCCTTGTTACCTTTCTGTCTGGCCTGGGTGACTAGGAGGAAGGACCCAGGGCTCAGTTGCCTGAATGCCTAGTAATACTATGAAGAAAACAGCAGAGACAACAAAATGCCAACCCCATAATCCAGCCCTGCCAGCACCTACCAGCCTGTAAAGTGGCCCTCACAGGATCTCTTCCACTGCCTCTCTGACCTGGGGCAGCAGGAGCTCCTGCCATCCTACCTCCCCAGTGACAAATGAAGCACAGAAAGGCTAAATACAGCCCAGTGGGTGACACACACCCGTCATCCCAGGCTGAGGCAAGAGGCCAAGTTTGAGGCCAGTCTCAAGAACTTAGTGAGGCCCTATGCAACTCGGCGAGACCCTGATTTGAAATAAAAAATTAAAAAGGGGCTGGGGATGTGGCTCAGTGATAAAATGCCTCTGGGTTTCATCCCCAGTGAGAGAAAGAGAGAGGAAAAAGGGAAGGAAAGAAAAGTAGTAGTTAAACACATGGCCCAAGGTCAGAAAGGTTAAATACATGGCCCAAGGTCACACAGCTGCCTATCGCAGACAAAGGTAGATCCACTTGTCTTGTCCAAGAGCTTATGTCTCATACTACTTTCCACTGGGGAGATGAGGACTGGACCCCAAATCCCTAGGGGAAGTGTGTTCAGAGGTCTAGTTTCTCCTCACCTGGCTTCCTGCTGGGCTGGGTTCCTGCTGGGGGATTTGTTGCTTGTTCTGGGAAACAGAATAGACCTGGATTCCAAGCCAGACCCCCAGGGGCATGAGCTGTGTGACCTTGGGCAAAGCACTGCACTTCTCTGAGCCCTTGCTTTCTCTTCCAGTTAACAGTAGCTACTTGGCAGGGTTATTATAGCATTCCACCATGAATGATTGACAGTTACAGTGACAACAAAGTCAGCCTTCACCTACCCGTCCTCGACACTTCTAGCCTGGCTGGCGGGCAGGCAGGATACCCACTTACCTGGTTTTGCTCACACCTCCTCGGCTTGCTTCTCCCCTCCCTCATGTTTTGACCCTTCAACTAACGAGTCCATCTCTGAGCCGGCTCCTTCTCCAGGTGACCTCTCTTGCAGCTACAGTGATGACCCTCCCATTCCCACCTCCAGTCTGATCTCTTCTCTGACTCAGCCTCAGGCACCCGCTGGCCAACAGCCCCGAGGAGGGGCAGCAGATTGAAGCCCTGTGACAAAGGCGGCTGAGAAGGGGTTTGACAATCTGTACGTGATGTGCGGCCCGTGACAGACGAAGATCCCATGACATGGGGAGATGACATGCAGTGCACATGGCAGTGTCCACAAAGGGACTTTGATTGGGGCGGACACACTCACCCAGTCTCCGGTTGTCTTCGGGCACAGTTGTGACAGAGACCCCACGTCCACAGAGCCTAAAATAACTCCCCTGTGGTCTCTGGATGCGCGGCCCTCTGTCCTAGGTGCTGACTCTTAGTGGGTATCTTAAATTCAACATGACAAAACCTGAGCCTCGAGGTCCCTCCTTAATAAGGAAATGAAACAAGACACCTGCTGTCCATGTCCTTAGGTGCTCAGGCCAGAGCCTGGGCAT